GTCGAGTTGACAAACTCGGGTCGCATTTTCGACGATCTTGCCGCCCATCCCGGTAACTGAAAAGTTTTCTCTAAAAGTGGGGAGTTGCAAACGCTTAAGAACCTTTTCAGATATGAAGGTTTTTTGAGAGCCTTGGTCGATCAAGGCTCTTAACGTAAAGAGGGAACCCCTGTGCTCGATATTTACTTGAGCGGTGGGAAGCAGGGTCTTCTCATTGTTTGTTGAGAAATTTGCTTGGATGTATGACGAACCTCCAGCCGAGGAACAAGGGGGTTCTTCGCAATTGCCTTTGGTTAAATCAAAAATCGGATGTCTAGATTGAAGTGGGGAAGATTCGACGGATTGGGTGTGCAACAAGGAGGTTGCAGTATGCGATGGTTTAGGGTGTGTTTTGCTCGCGGTTGCCTTAGGTGCCGACTTGTTAACTTGATTGGGATGCAACATCGTGTGATGTGACCCTTTACAGTGGAGACATCGGAATGCACTTTGGCACTTGGCGACTAGATGGTTGTAGGCTAGACAGTTCGAGCAGTAGGCATTTTGTTCCACGAATTTGCTCCTGTCAGGTAAGGAGAGTTTTTTAAATTCAGGACAAAATTTCAGGGAATGATTCTTTTTGCACATTTTGCATTGAAGCGCAGGTGCCTCTTGTGAATAATGCGAATGTACCTTGGTTTTTTCAGGCAAAGAATGTCTAACTTTGGAGGTTTTATAGTTTTGCAGACGCTCGACTACCTCATACCGACTTCGTTAGAAATTCGTCCATCTGCGTCCACTTGGGCAGTTCCTTTCTTGATTTTAGGGACTGCTCCCATAAGGAGAGAGTTTCCTCAGGTAAGCTTGAAGAGCATAAATAAATTAACACGGGATCCCAATCCGTTACAGAAACCCCTAGAGATGTAAGGCTTGAAAGGCAATCATTAATAGTATTCTGAATTTTCTGTATTGCCTCGCTATTTTCGGACTTAGCGGTAGGTAGATCGAAAAGCAATTTCAGTTGTTTGTCTATTAAAATTCGCTTATTTTCAAAGCGTGCTCTTAGTGCTTCCCACGCCAGTGAAAAGTTTTCATCACATAACCGATAATGTTTGACTATGGCACCCGCTTTTCCTCTAGTTTTATTCCGTAATGGAAAGTTTTTGTGCCGGTGTTAGCTTGGGATGGTTGAGGTATACGGCCGTAAACATATCGCGAAACGATGGCCAATCCTCATAGCTACCGTAGAAAACCTGTGTGTCACAAGGCGGAACCTTGATACAGGGGGTGGAATTATCAATAAAAGATGAGGAATTTCGAGAACCAGTTCATTCTTAGGTGAACGTCCTTCAAAAAGCTTGAGCTGATCCAGAATTTGGGATTTACAGATGTAGAAGCTATCGGTACACAACTGGAGTTTCGTGGTTGCTTCTTCTTTAAAATGAGTGGAAACTACGTTATCGTCCGCAAGACAGACCCTTTTATAGGAACTTTCTACTTTTTCCCATCTAGTATTAAGATCTTGGAGTTTAATTTCCAATAACGTATCCGTATGATCGTCAGGATCTTGCTGCTGGAAATGGGTGCAAAAGTCGACGATTCTATTGGAGTCGAAAATAAACTCTGACATAACTGTGGAATCGGTCGCCATGATGGAGGTGAAGAACGTATATTTGGTTGAAAAAAGTTAAGGAATTAAGTCCGACCGATTTTTGAAATTGCTTTGAAAATTGGTGGACAATAAGTCAAGGAATTGTGATGCTGTATTTAGAAATGCTAAGTAGATTTCCTAGCAAGCACCTGCGATGGAAATCGTGAAACAATAATCGAAACTTCGAGATGGTTTGGAGAACAGAAAAAAATAGAATCTTGCAAATTTATTTAACGCATGCAGCGCTGCGAAAATCTTAGATATAAACCGCTAACACGGGATAGAATTGATGCCTGTGTGGCTTAACGTTCGTAAGTTATCCAGGCACCAGGTTGGTTTTATTTAAAATAAATGTCGACTTTTGTTGGTATACAAGCTATGTAAGTGAGTGTTTCTTTATATCCTTTAAAGAACTTGTATGTTAAAATAATGTACGGTAACGCAAGTAGCTAGCCGTATCGTAAAAAGTCGACCTTTATTTGTTGTGGTGAGCACCAATGCATATATACGTGTAAAATAAACTATAACTAATTAACATGCGTTAAGGCGGATGTCGTACAAAAGGTCTATTGGAAATATTTCAATTTATTAAACCATAAAATAGCTCAAGGGGACCCAGTAACACAGCGGTAGACTTCGTAAATTTCAAATTCCAATGTGGTTCGGATTTTTATTTATCTATCTATTTTCTCTTTGTTTGCAAAGATATGCCAAGTGGAGTTCACGCAACGTGAAGCGATAGGGTGTGTTCGAGCTGGATAATGATTACCGCGTATGCAGTCTTGTTGCTTTCGTGATATGTTGCTGATGCTTGACTGTCAATTTCTGAAATGCTGCAGAAATGGCGCAGAAAATGGTATGCTGTTTAAGGTTTACCAATGATGGCAACTGATGATCAAAGTTTATTTCGCAATCGATTGATGTGAGCAGAGTAGCCCAAATATTTGCGTACAATGTGATGCTCGTTTATAAAAAGCAACACTGCCGTATGACTTCCCGCTCGAATATACCCATCATCGACCAGCACTAATCGCCGAAAAACACTGTAACTTATTTGTTCCAGATTCACTTTTGATTTCCCTCTTATGAAACGTTTGGCAATGGCCGCTTACCTTCGCAAGCAGCAATGGGTGGAGCCCACACAATTGATATGCAAATTTGAAAATAAAGGTGTATATGCGAAATTTATAGTGGTCGTAATAATTGCATGCGCCAGCGCTTTTAGACCCAGGCTAATACATGCCTATATATACACATTCATCCGTATGTATAGACCTACATACGTACATATGTGTATTGTGTTCATGGTCTAAGGCAAACATTTTAAGTGAACATTTTTCAAGTACCCTTCTATATACATATGTACATATGCATGAATGTGTGGAATTTTGATGGTTGTATTACTGATCTCCACCGGCTTTGAAATTCGTGCTCTATTTTAACAAAATCCCGTATTACTTGCGCCGGAATACAAGGAAACTAGAATTATCAAGACACTAATTCCTCATTTATGGATATCTCCGAGTTCATCTATAAAATTACCTACAGGATCCATTGGAATTAGTGAGAAACAATACCGAAATACGTTTTGTGAATTCAAAAAAAGAATTTTACGTTGAGATCATACATATACATACACACGTGCTGAATCGTATAACTAAATACATACATATGTACATAGGTATAGTAGCAATGTTTTAACCAAACCCAGTGGTAAATTTATGCGATCCGGTTGCGTAAAACTGTAGTGCCTTGCCGGCACATACATACATATACGAGCTCCGGGGTTCACTTTATTTTCAATATTTGCATATCAATTGTGTGGGCATCCACCCATTGCTGCTTGCGAAGGT